ATTCACCCATTAGCTCAGAACTACATTCACTTCAGTTAAACTCAAGTGAGGTGGAAAACTGCCTGAAATGAAATGTCAGAAATATTCTACAAAACTGCATCTCAAGACCCTTAATTGTATTTTAAAACATCTGGCTGATTCTGTAACACCAGAAAGATTCTAATTTAAGCGAAAGACATAGGCAAGAACCAGACTCCAATAAAAATAAAGCTACTCAGAGAAAACAGGCATAAAGAGCTGACAGAAGCATAAAGTAATAAAAAAAATAGCTAGAATATGAGTGAATAGGATTACATGGGATATGCCTCCTGCCACTTGCTGGGTCTCATTTAGAATGGGGCTTTAGAAAGGCTGTTAGATACAATAATAAAAATGATATGAAGACGTGGATTTAATAGCTGTTGTTAGCAATGCTGTAATGCCGAAATGAGATAGAACATGTGCTTCCTTCCTTAGGGCACCCAGAAATTTATTTTCATACTGTTGGTTTTTGTTGGCTCCTTAGAAATTCTTCGCACTCAACAATGTTAAGATGAACAGAACTTCCTTTAATGAGTAGAGTGATGTTTATCACTTCAACAATTTAAATAAGAATAACTATATATCAAGCTCTGGGCTAATTATACCATTTTATGATGCCTTGAAGTTTACAGAACACTTTTCTACACAGCCATTCAGACCTACCAAAAAGCTGTGAAGTGATTGCCATGATTATTTCCATTATATGGGGGAGAAAACTAAAGTTCGGAGAGTCTCAGTTGCCTCTGAGACTTTCTTTCTCTCAATTGCATCGCTTATTTCCACTCACATTCAGTGAACTTCTCCCAGTATTACTGAGCTAAGGCAACCGGACTCATGGAATTAGGAGCATTAGGTAAGGGAGCATAAGACTACCTTTTCTTGTTTATTTCATGCTATTAGAATACTTTTTTATTTTCCTGAAATTCTATGATTTTTTGAATTCTTAACAATCTGCTAAAGAACACATAGATTTAAATTAACATGTCACCTCCTGCCTTATTCACTATATCAAACCATGGGAAGCTGTGGACTTTGTCATGATTATCTTTTATTATGTGTTAATTGCATCAAGATCCTGCCTTCTTCGTCCATCAGAGAAAGCTTTCTTAATCCACTAAATTAATCTTTGACCAAGTTTCCTGGCTTTCGGGATCTCCCAAAGGAGACGTATCTTTGTTAGGTCACCATGTCCTTCCATTCTGAGTCTTGTGTGTAGATTGAGTTACTGATGAGCTAGATTTACATCTGGATTTGTCAGGGGTGTATGGCAGCAGGATAAATTAAAGGACCCCATGAGGTGACTCCAGCCCCATTTTTACAATTCCATTCTGTCCAAGCTTCTTTCTTTTCTGCAAAGACCAGCCTAAGAAAACAGAACTGTAGAGCAAATCTGCCCCTGACCTCACCAAATCTTAGCCTTCCTTTGAGTATTCTAACCAATTTAGGGTCAAGGGAAATCATATTTATCCTGCATGACAGACCCCTCTGGTGTCACATCCTTTGGCATACCATTCGTTTCATCTGTAACTGAAGCAGATGATCATATACGAGCTCAGACTTACTCATATTGACGACCTGTCATTTCAAGAACACACCACATGTCCTTTTGCTTTCTGCCCAGAACTTCGCCAATACCACCAGAGAACACTTGGCCTGATTCCACTGGGAGTGGCAAAAGCACAGCCCAGAAGTGCAGGGAAGATAATGCCCCCAGGGGTGACCCTCAGCCAACAGGAGCCAGAGGTTGGTTAGTAACTGTCCCAGTCTCCGGTCCTGCCAGAGACAATTTTCAATGCTACTCCCAGGGGAATTCAATGCTACTCCTAGTGGCAGTGACTCTCTTAACTCATCTCACGGTGGTTTTCCCTCCTTTCCTGTCCCAGTCTTTTGTTCTGCTCCCTGGGAATACCTCTCACGCAAACTGCCTGCACGCAAGTCCTGGCTTCAGGCTCTGCTTTTCAGGGTAACCATTTATATGGGTGGAGATGTTTCCCCTTCACCATAAACAAAGTCTTCGGAAAATGAGAGGTTCACAACCCACTCTAGGAGAAGCTTAAAGGCTTCACTCAATAGGCCACTAGTGTCTCCAGTGCCCATTTGTGAGTGGTCATTAGTATTTGTTGAATAATCTTCACATCACCTTCTCAGTGTATTAAAGTTGGGATTTCATGATGGTTTTATAGTAAGCATGCCCAGGGCCACCTTAAAAGTCATGCCATGTGCCAGGTGAGTACCCCTGAGTCCAAGTCACCACTTCTTGACACAACAGCTGTAGCAATTTGAGGACTCAAGTTCTGGACAGGGGTTCTAGAGGTCCAAGTCTAACAATCTCCTTTTATACATGCTAGTTGATGGAAATGCAGGTTCCAGAGTCAGTTCTCTAGACTCTTTCAATTGCCCTAAACAAAAATGAAAGAACAAGGCCCTTCCAAGTCCAAACTTTGGGCCTTTGCACTTGCTATTTCCTCCACCTAGAATGTTCTCCTTGGCTCATCTTCCAATCTCAGCTCATTGTTAACTCCCCAGAGCCCTTCTCTGACCACGCCGGTCAGAGAGCAGCTCCATTCTTCCAGTTACCATGACACTACCCTGTTTTTATAGCACTTGTTACTACCTGTCACTATTTATTTATTTGCATGTTTCCTATGAGTCCACCCTCCACTAGGAGCTTGCCTATCTTAACCCCTGCTTTATTACAATGCCCAGCATATAGTTTGGATGGAAGAAATGATAGCTATCCATATGCTGTACCATAGACTTCACTTGCCCTTCTCATGACAACATGACTGCTGTTTTTCATTACATAATTAGACCATCAGAAAAGAGTCCTGCTCTGGCTAATTGAGCCCAGCTCTCTAGCTAGTTAACACTTCTGAATCTCTGGCATATCTCAAGATCCATGAATAGTAATTTGGGCACTGTGGATTACTCATCCATGGGCCACAGTCTTTTCCCTGGTGCTCTGCACTCAGGGTGGGAGGTTCTTAGAATTCATTAGTGTCATTAGAACACAAAAGAAAATGAACAAGAGGAAGAAAGAAACCCAGATGTCCTACTCTGACATACCTCTAACTCGGGTATGCCGAGCGGAATGAGACCGAGACCCTGGAGGAAAGAAATGTGAAAAAAATGCTTAGACCTAGCTCTAGCATTTAATGGGGAAAAGGATTCCCAGGGCTCACAGAGAGTTCAGATTAGTTTATCAGGAGAGGGGATCCGATGAAGATTTGAGGAAGCTGCTCCAGCTAGGAATAATAGCTATGCATTGTAACTTATGTATCTTGTGCTACATATTCTCAGACACCTTAAATGAAGTGTTAGGAAACTGGATAAGAATTTGGTCCAGCAAAGGAGAGATGAGGGAAAAGAGACACTGAAAGTGTGAGTCACGGTGCTTCCTCAGCCATCACTTTCAGATGCTTCTGACTTGATAGCACATTCGCAACTGTTTATCTACTCACGTCTTTTCACCTCATGGCTGCTGAGGTCAACCTTCAACTTGATGTGCTTGCAAGGAGATCTTAATATGGAATGTTAAAATTAAAATAGTAAAATTTCAGAGCAGAAAAAGTCATTTTTATGTGAAAAAATAATCTAACGTGGAATTTTCCTTAGTCTATGATATGTACCTATAGTCCTAATTATCCTGTGCATTCTGATTGGTAGGGCAAAAATTATAAAGATGTCTATACACTGATTATTTTCAGGACCTGTAGAAGGGTAGGCTAGAAGCAAATGGTCAAGTAGCTGGACATAGAGGTAGAACCCGTTGGCTTTGAATGCATCCGCAGGAGGAAGAAAAGCCAAATGGAAGAAATAAGATGCAACAAGTATGTCTGAGAACTGGTATTTCATAAATAATTACTGCTGCCTTTGGTTTCTCTGAGAGTTACTGATAATCATCTCCTGTTTTCCTAAACCTCTTTTCTCCTTCCCTTCTATTATTTATGATTTGATTCTTCTTTATCAAGTGTATACTAGGATTAATAAAATATCATCACTTCCCTTAAATGCTCCTATACTTTATGGGTGCAGGTAGACATGTAAATAGGTAACACAAATAATGACCTCTCTTTGGAAATGATCTAAAGTGCTAATAACAGGTAGATAATCTCGTAAGCTATTAATTCCTATCTCCCCAGGGATGTCTGCAACCAAATAGGGGATTACGCCTTCAAACATTGAATTTTGTGGAGTTTCAAGCATTTTCACTATCATAGTCTACCATTGTCCATGTGTTAATGTAGAGTGAAAAACTGGAAGCATCCAAGCCTTCCAGCAGGGCTACTATGCAGAAAGGAATTATTTTAAGAGCGGCATAAAGCTTCCCTGCCCCACCCAAAATTTACCCCTGCTGACTCTTTGCTCATATTCCCAGTTTAGCTCTTTATAATGAGTGTCTTTTCATAAAGTAGAATGCATAAAGTAGAGCAAGATATCATTTTATGGTATCATCTAGTTAAAGATCTACTGAAAACAATTTAGTGAAATTTGTCCTCAGTCCAGTTTAAATGACTAATCCTGATAGTGTGCCATATATTCCCCAGCACCAGAAGCCTGGTAGATAGAAAACCTACTGCAGAGTTATAACCTAAGTAACCTCAGCCTTTAATAGGCATCCTATTAAACCATAAGAATCATGATTTCTTACTTTAGTACATGCTATAACAAAATTAGAATTAGCCTTAGAGCAGGAATCTACTTCTACTCCCAGCTCTGTCAATAATCTGGCCTCATGGCCTTGGACAACTCACAAAACTGAGGATTGCTGTCTTCATCTACAAAAAAAGACCATTAGGTTTAATGAATCCAAGGTTCGACCTACCTTTAATCTTGCATAGTAGCTAACATTTATTATATTTATTGAGTACTTGTAACGAAAACATTTTCTGAATTCTGTTGCACTCATCGATTAGGCTTTTTCCTCATACGTTTCCAAATTGTAGTTTATGTATAGTTAAATGAACTTAATGACTTACCAAATAAATTGTCAGAAAGAGAAAAGTCATCCGTGGCAGGTAGGTGGGAGTGTTCAATAAGATTCATTTTTGATCCCATCCAAACTTTCTTTATTTGAGAATGCACTTTTGTTGTGGTGGTCTTCAAAAAAAAACCCTGAAAGGCAAATAAGTAAATAGAGAGTTTGCGGGGAGATGGTTAAGAGAGAGAGAGGGTAGGAGAGAGTAAGCTAATTTACAAAACAGCAAATGGCTCCGTTTGTAAACATTTTGCCAAAGCCTTTCTGTACATATCTGTACATATCTATTTATCATTTTTACACCTCATTTGGACTTACAAGTATCCAGGATATGTGCTTTCAGAGGAGATATTTTCTAATTTATCTAGGAAAACACTACATGTTTTCATTTAAATTTCAATACTTGGGAGATTTGGGCAAGACATGATGACATTTTGGTTGTTTTTATTTCTTTTACATGTAGAAAAAATAAACAAATAAAAAGGACTTGATTTTAAATGGGATGAATCAATAATCTTGTATCTTAAATTTTATTCTAAAGTTGAACAGGTCTTTGCAAAGACATGAAAGTGATTTAAGACCACTTGCAGCTGGAATTTTCTTGAGTTGATTAGGCATTGTGTCAGCAAATCAAAAATTCAGAAAGTATTCCCCTGTGATCTTTATTTTTGCCTTTTAGAGGAAATTTCAGGGGTTTGTATTTTCACTCTCATGATCTACCTTATCTAGGATAAAAAGAAGTTAGGATAAAAAGAACAATAATGGTAAATCTCACCAAAATGTCTGAAGTTTCATCCTGAGGAGATGTCCAGAATTAATCCAAGAACCTAAGAGAAGCAGTATTCACTTTCAGTTATATCTCTAGGTCTTCTTTCTTTCCCTCCTTTCTTCCTTTCTTCCTTCCAATACCTCCCTGAAGAAGTAATTTGAAAGGTCAAATATAGAAAACTGTTTTCTGAGGGTGATTTTCAAATTTTGTCCTGTGTCATAAAGAAATCACTTTGTTTACAAATATGTAACTTTGTATTTGCTACTTAGAAGAGAATAAAGGGTTTTTGTTGGATTAATATTTATTTCATTTGAACTTTTCTACTATTTGTGTCACTATTTCTTTCTCTGTCACTCAGTGAAATGGTCCAGTTCAAGCAGAAGCAAGTAGCAGATACATTTGGCTGCTGGTAAGATAGTCCAGCAGACAATGTTTGCTGCATTCATTCATTTATTCATGCTTTCGAAAACCATTTATTAAGGACTTATTCTGCTCTAAGCTCTGTGCTGGATCCTTGGAGATAAAATGATGAAACAAAAAAAGCATCCATGATCTATGAAGATTAATGAAGAGTAAAGACATTAAAAATAATCACACAAATACACAGATAACTACATATTGCCGTGAAAGCTGTTAATGAAGGCAAAGATCAGGATGATCTAATGAGAGGTCAGGTGTGAAAAAGAGTTGAAATAGAAAAGTAGCAGAGGGAGGATGTGGTTTCAAGGGTAGTTTTTAAAGACAGGCAATACTAGGGCACGTCTGAATTGATGAGAAGACACCAGAGAGGTTGGAGAATCGAGAGAGAGAACCTCCTGTGCAAGGATACAAACTGTGTCTACAGTGGGAATGCAGACATATCTGGGTCTATCTAGTGAGCCAATGGCATGGCATGATCTTATTGAAATCTACTGTCTAGTTAGCCAAGGGGTGTATTGGGAGAAAAACCATTCTAAAGTCAGAGGAAACCAGGAGTCATGACTTTCTCCCCAGAGAAAGCCTCAGTCTTTAGTGGAATGTGTAATTCTCAGTGGGGCACACTGTTTGATCAACTTGTACTAGATTCAAGAGGCCCCCCTGCCAATCTGAGGTGGAAAGGGATTGGGTTATAAATAAAAATGAGGCTTAGAAACAGTGAAATATAAGGCAGACCCTTTTAACAGAGTGCAAAAAAAATAGGAGAACACGAGCTCGTTTCAACTCCACCCTCACCCTCAAACAACTCTGCCACATATCACAGTAGAACTTTGATCCCAAGAGGACTCAGGGCCATTCTGGGGAAATTGTGAAATTGCAGCAACAGCCCAGGTGTTGCCATAACCCGTGGAGAAGCACCCAGCAGAGGAACTATGACCACTGGTTGGGGTGCTGCTCTCCCCAGTGGGCACAAGAAGTACTAGAAAAAAACTTCAGAACAGACTTGATGATGAACAAATGTGAAGAGACCCTAAGGTGCTCCTGAAATATTTAGGGGGAAAGGGCTCTGGTAGGGAACTGGAGGTCCTGAAGAATAAGCTAGTGAAAACTGAGTTGTTGCTAATAATAGGACCTCATTCATACTCACAAGCTATTTGGGGACATGGGAAACGCAAGTTTCAATATGTGTATATGAATTGTATATACACATATTCAATGTGTATATATTAAGATATATAGATTACGTGTAATAATTATGTATATGTGCCTGCATATTGTGTAATAAATGGGTTGAAAAGCCCTCACCCTCCAATTCAGGCAACGCAAGTTCCTCATAGAGTTTCCTGTCTTTGGAATAGCAAATTCCAGTTTCCCATAAAAATAATTTCCAGGAACCCACAATGTGCAGAGTCAAGAATTTTTCCTGATATTCAACCCAAACTTATACCCTGTAATTTAAGACCCATTTGCTCTGATCTTTAAAACCTAGGAAGTTTCAGATGGGACTCTTACTTTTCCCTCTGTGCTAACTCTCACATTTGTCTTTGTAACTTTCGGTCATGTCCATCAAGCTCCCCCATACTTCTTCGGCACATTATAGCTCTCTAATATTTCCCGGGTACAGTCATTTTCATTTTGGATTCTTATAATGTATTTCTTCTATATGTTCATATAAACTTGGCACCTTGCATTCAAGCGCCTGGCACATAATAGGCCGTCCGGAAATGCTGGCTCAATTACATGATCTACATTGTTTTTCTTGCTTAGTTCTGCCAAATTTCCTGACATTTGGCATGCTCTTTTTGAAGAAATGGCACTAGATAAGAATCCATTCTCCTATGGATACAAACGACAGAATTTATCACTCTTACTCAAATGAAAGTCCAATTTCCCTAATTCTGTATTATTTGGGTTATTGCCCCTGGTTGGAGACCCACTATGTGGGTGCACCAATTTGCTTACAACAGAGCCCTCCAGAATCCAGACAGTAAGCAGAGTGTGCTCAGATCAGGTTTGTTGGGTTTATGATTCCTGAAGGGATTTAAAGAAAAGGAAGCTCTTTAATTTTTCAAATGGTAACACAAGTATATGGTAAGCAATTCAAACAGTACACTGAAAAATAAGTCTTTCAGTTAAAAGTTCTGTTTGAATAATGAACTTTGAGAAACTGCAGTGAGTTTAAGAATTTCCTGAAGTAGCAAAAGCCCAGATAACAGGAAGCCACCAATTCTATCTATTCAGATGAATTTATGTATGTGTTAATATACAAAGGATTAAGTTTGGAATCAGAGCAGATAACAAAAAATATCTGAATTTGCACAAGACTTCTCTGTCTGCATTCACTGTTTTCTTGAAAAGCTGTTAAAATTTATTTTTAAATGAAAGTATTTTTTAAATGGAATGCCATTGCAGAAAATTCAGAAAGGCATTTCAAAAAAATGCCCAGTTACATTCTAAACTTTTTTTCCAATTTATACTCCCACCAGTGAATAAGAGTACCTTTCTCACCACACATTTATTGGCATTATCTACTCTCATTTTCAAAAATCTTTTCTCATTTGCTAGGTGACAAATCCTATCTCGCTGTGCTAAATTGCATTTCTTTGATCACTAGTGAAATTGAAATTTTTTTTTACAATTTTATTGTCTATATATGATAGTTTCTTTCCATTTTCTTTTTATGATGTTTGCCATTTTTCTATAAAAAATGTTCATCTTTTTTGTTGACTCAGAAAAGTTCTTTGTATTGAATATATTAGCATTCTCGTATATTTGCTACAAACATTTTCATTTGCCTTTTATTTATCTTTACCTGAAAAGTTTTTGCATTGTCTGTAGTTAAACATGCTTGATTTTAAAACTTAACTTTTGTTGCTTTTTATTTTTAGTTTATGGTACAAGGAGAATTTCTCTCAGAATTGCTTGTTGAATACTTTTTTCCTTTCACATTAATTTATGAGCCTTCTTTGAGTAAATCTGAATTTAGCTTTCCATGGATCATGTAGTTACATCTTGTACCAACGTCATCTTTTCCTATTATCGTTCACTGTTTTTCAACACTTCTTAAGATAGTCTTACCTTCTTGTTCTCTATGATAAACTATCACATCTGGTATCACATTCTTTAAAATTTCTTTGGGAGTTTGAGATGAGACCAAATCTATATTTTTAAGTAGGAAGACCTACATCTTTATAATATTCTATTTTGCCTTTCAGGGACAAGGCATGTCTCCATTTACTCAAATGTGCCCGTATATCTCTCAGTTCTGTAGATGTTTTTTCATGTATGTCCCAACTTCTCCATGAATGTTTCGCCCTATCATTTATCTTCCTCCCCCTTGTGTGGTAATTAATGAGTTAACTTCCTCTGTCTTAACTTCTCCACTTCATCAACAGGTTGTAAACTCCTAGAAAGCAGGTATCATAGTCTGTATTTCTTTTGTGTTTCCCTTTCACAGCTGGCAGTGTTATGAATACACATGAGTAATAGCTGAGCTCTAGTAGAAATGTCATGGGGACAAGGCATGAGAAGATTGGGGTGGAGAAGCTGTTCTAACCTTTCCTAGCTTTGTCTATGACCTACAACTATTCACCTAACTCCTCCCCTCCCCTGAGCCTCAGCTGAATGAGGGATTAATAACTCTAAATAATAGCACTGTCATAAAGATTAAAAAGTGAACTGTTCCTAAATTTTCACATATATATATAAGGTAACATGTGCAAAAAAGTTCATTGCATTGTTTCTAATAGGAAAAAAATTAGAAATGGTATAAATATCCATCAGAAGGAGAATGGATCCAATAAAAAAATAGTGTATTCAAAATCAAATACTATACAGCACTTAAAGGGAATGAACTAGGACTATATATTTATTCATATGGATAAATTGAAAAACATCATGTGAATAACATACAGTTTGACAAAATTTATGTATATTTAAAGGTATGAAAAACATTGCTACATATTGCCATTGATACTCTCATTCAGGGGTCAGCAAACTATGACTCATGGGCCAAATTCAGCCTGACAAGGGCCAGATCTGCTCTTTTGTTTACATCTTTTCTATAGTTATTTTCACATACCAGTGGCAGAATTAACTAGTTGCAACACAGTCCACATGGTCTGCAAAGCCTAAAATATTCACTACCTGGTCTTTCTAGAAAAAAACTTGTGATCCCTGCTCTAACCCAGAGAGATATTCATGGAAGCGCTGCAGAATTAGTGATGCAGAATGTCTGGGCAGGTACGCGAAAAATTTCCGTAACATCTGAAATGTTTTCCTTCTTCAGCTGGGGGGTAAATACAAGGCAGTCGATTATATTATTTAATTTTTTGCACGTTGGAAATATTTCACAAAATAAAAGATTGAATGAAATTCTATCTGCAAAAATCTTCATCTGTAAAGATATGCAAGTTTATACAGGAATTCTTTCTTACATACACACACACATCTATCTGCGAAAATCTTCATCTGTAAAGATAACGTGAGTTCACACAGGAATTCTTTCTTACACACACACACACACACACACATTTTTAAGACTTTGAGGAGAAAATAATTTCTTCCCTTAAAATGTTTGGGGACCCTAACTGTGGTCAATGAGGTGCCACTGGAAATTTTGAGTGGCACAATGAAATCTACCTTCAAGATTAGTCTAATGAAAAAGTAGGACAACAGTCAGGATAAGCAGTAAAAGAAGGAGGAAAGTTCAGGAAATCTGTTGTGAA